CATCGGGGCCTGAGTGGTGGGTACAGAGTGTTGACGTCGGCGAACAGTACCCTGTATATGCTGCATCTGCTCTTGCTGCCAACAGCTTTGCGCGGTCGTACTTTGCTGCAGCCTTCCCGTAAGCCAGGCCAGCCGTTGTGGGCAGATCAGATGACTAACTCATGGCATAGGCTATTTGGTGTTCAGATGTACAACAGTAAGTGGACAAGAGGGAGCACCATTTGCAAAAGAGCGGTCACTAATGTGGTCAAGATCTCGGTTACCAGTGGGCAACGACTGTGCTCGCGTTCCTGGCTCTAGCAATGGCACCGTAAGGAAGCAGTACCCGGGGCAATGGTCATGGGAAGCACTAATGTATATGACGCAGGTTTCCTATCTTGTTTTTTCGATACGGCAAGCGTCTTCGCGAGGGCAGTCGGTATGCGTCAGGATAGCAGTAGGTGGGTGGGTATGGGTGTTTATGCGAAGGCATGTGGCAGCAATGAGTGGGAGATCAAGACCAAGAATAGAGACGAGTGACACAGCATTTGCAGGCCATGATATTTTGTTTTGATTGAGTCAGGGATACTGCGCCCATGCGTGAGACGACATGTAGCACTCTGGCTGGGCCTTTGTACGACGGAACATGGAGCGCCACGAGGGCGGCCACGCCAGCTCGAGGGACAGAGGCGACGGGAGCGGCACAAGAGATGGGCCGTGGCTGCGGATAGAAGCGCCACCGGGGGTCGTGTGGATGATAAGCAGCAAGTGAGACGGCGATAGTGGTTGTGGTGATGATGGTGATGGTGATGATGATGAGCAGTATGTTGATGATGGTCATTAGTCGTACCAGGGTGGAGCGAGTAATGGCTGGTGCCAAGACCTCGCAAAAGGCCATGGGCCCCCCCACCGCATGCACGCCTTGTAGCCGAGCGGGCGAGAGTTGGGAACCGGGCGGCTGGCCGCTTATTGGGCATGGGGGGGGGGGGGGGCTGTGTGGCATGACCTGTTGCTGTGGGCAGTGGACGGGGGGACTGGGTGGACAGACGGGGCAAGATTTTCCCGCCGACAACAGCGAGGGAAAGTGAGGCTACGGATGTACGGATATGTGGAGTTGATGGCAGGGCGGAGGCAGAGAGAGTCGTTTGCAGAGCAGGATGGCAGAAGCATGCATGTGCATTAGCAGCAGGCGGTAGTCGAGTGGTAGTCGATGGCCGGCAATGCGAGGGCGGGCTCCATCTACCCGTGACGTCTGCGAGGCATGTTGCTGGGCCGGCTAGTGCGAGGCCAAGCACGCGGCTTACCGGCCGACAGGGACCGAGGCAGGTGCGAGTCTTTATGTGCGTGCGTGCGTGCGTGTGCGTGGGCTCTTGCGCCTTCCAGCAAACCTCGACAGCCAATTGCGGGGAAGCGCATTTGCGCGCATCTCCAGCACTTCCACGAGAGACAACTCCAACATACCACCGCACACGACACCCCCCGCCCACCACACCGCGCCCTCCCCGCGGCCTACACGCCTCCCCTTCCCTCCTCTCGTCCTCCTCCCATCCACACAATTGTCCTGCCACCGGCAAGAGCAAAAAAAACACCAGCCGCTGCTCCCAAACACACAGCCAGCCAGCCAGCTCCGCCCGTAAGCTGGGCCCGACCATCGCTCTCGCTTGCCCGCGTGCTCGTTCGCTCCTGCCTCCTGCGCCGACCGTCACTTCCCTCGCCCCGTACCACAACGTCGCTCTACCGCGTCGCGCCTTCCCTGCTCGTCACTCGAAGCGAGGACGCCTCAGCGCCACTGCCACCTGGCTGCCCTCGCCTCTTGCTCTTACCCCCCGGCGCATCTCGTAGAACCGCACTCGACTCGTCCCAGCAGCATGGGCAGCGCGTCTCGGTAGCATCTTGCTATCAAACATGATTCTGTGTCCGACTGGAATGCTCCCTCGATTACGTCCATCCCGGCTTCGTACCACGCCCGCACTGTTCCATACCTGTCCCCCGGATTGACCATTGCCTCTGCCCATTGGCGTCCCCTGCATTTGCTCGTCATTGGAGCCCCTACAGTGTCACAACAGCCCCCATCCACCCTGTCCAGCCCACGCGTGATCGCTCTCTCAAACACGCAGCTGGAACGCCTCGTCCCGTGCGCCCCCAGAAACATTGGCTGACCCGTTTTGCCGGGAACATCCCAAGAAGACCAACCCACGGCTGCACGCAGTCCACGACAGCACTCTGTCCTTGGCCCCCCACCACCGTCTGCTGTGCTGAGCAGAGGCCCGAGATATTATGACTGCCTCAGACGCCCAAGATGCTTCTCCCTCGCCCGAGTACCGGAGCGATTTGGACGACGACATGGCTGCTGAACAGAATGCCGACCACCAGTCTGCCGGCACCTCGCCTGCCCAGAAGTCGGCAAACAACAAGTCCAATGCCAAAGACCCGCTGAGACCCCGGCGCAAGAAGGCCCGGAGGGCGTGCTTTGCCTGTCAACGAGCACATCTCACGTGCGGCAAGTACTAACTCACCTGGCCTGCCAGCACAATCTTGCTAACAACATCAACAGGCGACGAGAGACCCTGCAATCGCTGCATCAAGCGAGGCCTCCAAGACCACTGCATGGACGGTGTCCGCAAAAAGGCAAAGTATCTCCATGATGCACCAGATGGTGCTCTCATGCCTGGAGTAGGCGGCCATTACCCATACATGAATGGAAATCGCCCGACTCCAACTCCTACCCAGGACACCCAGACGGTCGCCGTCTCGCCGCCAGCCAACATGTACCCGCAGGGTCAACAAGGCGCTTTCTATCCACCCAATTCAATACCACCTCAACTACCCGTCACACAAGACGCACGAGGCTTCAGCAACCAGCAGTCGCCAATATCTCCCTCTTTTAACCAGACCACGGCACAGAGTGACCCGAGCACAATACCTCAGCCCCAACCAGATCAGCTGCAGCAGTTTGGACCCTTGTTCGATCCAAGCGATCCAGCCCTCTTCAACTTTGACATTTCGAGCCTCAACTTTGGAAACCACTATGGTGCGCTGGAGTTTGGCATGCTCGGACACATGTCGTCAGGCGCAATAGAAACCCCGCATGACAATGGCATGATGAACGCCATCAACGGTCCTGTCAACATGTACAACCAACCGTTGTCCTCCGGTTACGGAGATCGAAATAATTCTAGTGTAATGGCATTCGGCCCGAATGGCCTACCATCGGGCGAATGGCAGGAATCGCATTCGCGACAGGGCAGCATGCACGCTCAGACAAATGCTTCCATTGGTTCGAATCATGACCATAGTCATCGAAGCGACAGCCTCAATGGACCTCATGCATTCGCCATTGGACAAGGTCCAGGCACTCACTCATCAGCAAGCCCGGCGTCTACGGATGCATCTACCTTTGAAGGCGACAATCCACTGGCCGCTGCAGCCTTCTTTGCTAATCCTCATCGGCCGCATGCACAACGTTCGCCTTTGGTAAGCCGACCGCAACAAGAAAACAAGCATCCGAATTCCGCACTACATTCATTACATGCCAACGGCATCCGTAAACGCCAGCGAGATACCAAGAGCATTTACCAAGGCATCACCAAACCCTATGACTATGTCAAGGGTTATCATAGGCTCTATCAGTTGATTGACAAGAAGTACTCTCGGCAATGGGTTGCCAAAGCCCAGCAATACTTGCAGAATTATCGGCCGGTGCTTCTGCAGGTTCGTGAAGAGCTCAACAGAGACGATTTGATTCACCAAGAAATGGGTCTCCAGCGCCATCTCATGACACTCCAAGAACACTTTGCAGAAGTCGGTACACCGTTCTTGATCTGCCGTCGCTCGGGCGAGATTGTTGGCATCAACAAGGAATTTACCATACTCACTGGTTGGAAGCGTGAAGTCCTCCTTGGTCAAGAACCGAACCTCAATCTCAACACTGGCATCAACCGCGACTCAAACGAAAGTGACCCATCGACCCAAAATACCACACCTAATCTGGCAGCCCAAGACAGCGAGACCGCGACACCCAGCGTCAACATCATCGAACTCATGGATGCACGATCGGCCCTCGAGTTTCTGCAGCACTTTTCCGAGCTCTGCTACCAGGACCCTCGTGGCTATGCCTCGCAGCGCGTCAACATGCTGCGCTACCAGACCAAGGCAGACATAGACCGCCTGCAGGAAATGAAGAGCGCGAATGCAGGTGGTGACGCAAAGCATGACCCGCTAGTTAAAACCGAAGGCGGTGCCGTACATCAAGGCGAGAGCGCCATGCAGCGACTTGGAGCCAAGAATGGCATGGTGGATTGCATGATTTGGTGGCATATCAAGCGCGATATTTTTGATATGCCTGTGCTTGTTTGTATGAGTGTAGGTTTTCTCTCTCCTTCCAGGGCAATGATGAATGATGAGATGCTAATGTTGAATTGTAGGTTATGCCTGTACTAGATAAAGGCCTGCAATGAGCCGTGACAAATGGTTTGATGATTTTTTTTATCCTTCTTCTTCGTCTTCCTATCTCGTGTTGACGGTCAAGGCGGCTGTAACAAACGTGTCTTCATGTTCTTGTCTTTTCTTCTTCTTTTTTTTGCATTCACAACCTGCACACATACAAGGGGGAGAGGGGTACATGATGGTCTTTGTTCGAGGGCCGCTCTTCGAAAAAGACAATTTTAGTCTAATAGTTCCTAGTAACCTTACTGGAACGGGCGTCTTTTGAGCATTTCTTCTTCTAAAAACCAGCAATCATCTGCTGCGAGAGTCTTGAACCATTGTCGCCTCGGAGGCACAATGTTTCTTCTATCTGTTAAGATGCTTTTTTTTGCTTACCCAGCAAACCGTGGATGCATGGATTATTCATGATCGAATTCGTGTTAGACTCAATAACTCTCTCTCGAGAAGAGGGGGATATCGCCGTGCAAGTTAGTCCAAGATATATGGAGAGAAAAAAAAACAACAACATGTCCTTGCTCTTATACTTCCTCCAAGCACCAAAACAAAGACAAAATACTCAATTAGATACCACCTCATCAATTCATCATCTCACTCTTCACAACCTCATCTTTCTGCCCCGCCTGCTCCACCCTCTCATCCCCATTCCCCATCACCTCACCCCCCTCGCCTTTCCCCTTCAACCACTCATCCCCCTTCCACTCCAAATATTTTTCGCGCTCCAAACTCCTCTTCGCCACCCTAATATCCTCCCTGATATCCTCCACCAGCGCCTCCAAGCTCACATAATCATACTCTGGCCGTATAAACCCAAGAATAACCAAGCTCAGCGTGGCGCCATAAAAGTCGCGCTCGAAATTGTGCAGGATGTGGATTTCGATGCTGCGCTTCGAGTTTTTGTAGTAGGGGTTGTATCCGACGGAGAGGACGGTGGGGTAGATTGTTTGGGGGGAAGGGGCGGGGTCGGTGGGGTAGTTTAGGTCGAGGACGGCGTGGTTGGAGGATGTTGAGGGGGGTGGGTCTGTCGAAGTGGTGTCCGAGCGTGTTGTGTTGGAGGTGGACGACGAGGGCGAAGAAGAAGAGGGAGGAGGGATGGTCGAGGGATCGAGGGTGCACCAGCCGTAGTAGATGCCTGAGTCGAGGTCCTCGTTGCCGCCGATTGAGAGGCCTGAGAGGGGGATGTTGGCCGTGGGGATGCCGAGCTGGAGTTGAGTGTTAGTGTCGAATTAGGCGTGGTGAGAGAGGTGGGTTACTTCTTTACTGCCGCGTCCGAAGCCTTTGATTACCGGGCCGCGTAGCTTGAGGGGGAAGGGTGGTTGGGGTGCGTCGGGGCCGGCGATGGGGTCGCGGGGACCGTCGGGACGTCCCATTGTGAATGTCTGAGGAGGGGGGTTATATTTTTTTTGAATAATAGGCAAGTGCGTTGTAGGTGTTTGTATATAGGAAAAGGTTGTTTGTTCTGAGAATAGGTGGTGGTGGCTTGCTTTAGCTTCCAGTACTTTCTGGTCGGGATGGCAAAGGGTCCGATCGGAATGCATGGTGGGGCACATGTGAAATGGTAAGCGTCATTGTTGCTGCTTAGTCAATGCAAGGTACCGCGGCATCGCTGCTACCCCAACCAAATGCGGCCATGCTTCCGCCAAAAGCATTCTGTTCGGTATGGCATTCTAACAGGATGATTGCAACTTCTCCTCGTCTCGCTGTCCTACCATTTGCATCTCGTTTGAAATCATACGCTCCATTTCGTACAATGACTTCTGTATCGGCAACCAACCGTATCTCCCGCCTATATGATGATAAACCAGCATTTATATATGGCACTGCCTGGAAGAAAGATCAAACAAAGCGGCTGGTAAAAGAAGCGTTAACTGTTGGGTTCCGGCGTGTCGACACTGCTGCACAACCACGTCATTATCAAGAGGCCTTGGTCGGAGAAGCACTTCGCGAAGCATTTACCAAAGGTCTGTTGAAGCGAGAAGAGCTCTACGTACGTATATCGAGATTCCCACTCATCCTATACTGATGCCGCGTAGTTGCAAACAAAATATACTACCCCTGCCGGACAAGACCTGAACAACATGCCCTATGACCCCAACACACCCTTGGACTCTCAAATCCACACTTCCGTTGCATCATCGCTCAAGAACCTGCGCCATGTAGCTGAATCTCCAGACGACTCCTACGTCGACTGTTTGCTTCTACACTCACCCCTACCAACCATCGAACAGACAATCCAAGCCTGGAAGCTGCTGGAGACATACGTCCCCCATCGTATCCGCTCCCTAGGCATCTCAAACGTAACCCTTCCTGTCCTCCAAGCTCTCTACCAAAACGCCACTGTCAAACCTGCAGCTGTGCAGAATCGATTTTACCCCCAGACGCGCTACGATGTGCCTTTACGCAACTTTTGTAAAGAACACGACATCGTATATCAGTCTTTCTGGACGCTGACGGGTAACCCTGCGCTTTTGCAGTCACAACCTGTTGCAGCACTGGCACGAGCGGCACAGGTTGAGATACCGGTTGCACTCTATACGCTAGTGATTGATCAGGGTGTTGTGGTGTTGAATGGGAGTACGTCGAGGGAGCATATGGAGATGGATTTGGAGGGGGTTCAGAAGGTTCGTGGATGGGCTGTGGAGAAGCCACAGGAGTTTGCTGCTATTGCTGAGGATTTCAAGGCAATAGTGGGGTGATTAGTAGCTTGTGTCGATGTGAGTGTGTCTGTGCTGGTTGCGCAGTGATGTTGCTTATGACCAAAAGATACCCGTTTCAGTATCGATTTCGTACTCTTGATTTTGCATAGACTGACTCACCAGGTATAGAAGACGTATCTTGTGCCGTGTCTCGTGTAACAAAAGTGATCTGACGAGTTTGAAGGCGCGATCGATGTTGTCTGACGTCCTAGCGGCACGGCCTACACACCAATTGGGCATGGATAAGAACAAGTCTTCCACCCAATGCTTCTGATAACCTGGCGGCTGTCACATGGTGCTGAGATCCCGGTAGTCACTGGTCTCTTGGTATAGATCGCTGCAGGAAGCCACCAGTGTCTGGTCTCTCACTGTTGATTCTATCTGGGGCTGGGCACTCTATCACCTGCTAAGCACTGGACGCTTACCCATTTGAGAGATTACCACGCAGTGAAAGTCACTGACCCCCGTCTCTTACCTTTGGTGCTGAAATGGCCTAGCGCCAGAATCATCACACTGGCGACTCTGATCTTTTACTTCTTCGCTACACATCTCCCACACGTCACCAGTTATCGGAGCCTACAACATCTCAGTGAGCTCTGATCAACATATACCTGTGCATCTCGCGTTCAGAAAAAGATGGCCGCCAGCCCTGGTCGTTCGTACTCACCAGAGTACCTCGAGCGACTGTCAAGTCCTGATTATCTTGCTGGCGACGAGTCCTTGTCAGATTCACAGAGTGTTGCTAAATCGGATCACCGACCGAACGCTGCTGCACCTCTGAGCGCCGATGAGGACCGAATGAATTCAGATTCTCCAGCGCCCAGTCAGGAACGCAGTCCAGTCGGCAGTGACAGCAACGAGGAGAACCCGCCGTTGAAGCGGTTCAAAGGAGACCTAGACTCGTATTACGAATCTTCTGACGACTGCATCCCACCCAACCGCCCCCAAACAAGCCCAATCGACGGCGATAGCAATGAGGAACCTGCATCCTCGAAGCATTCGAAGACAGATCAAATCAATTATTACGACTCGTCCGACAACAACACTCCACCCAACCGCCCACCAACCAGCTCCACCGCAAACCCTCCCCCCCAAAAGCCTACTCAAGACAAGAAGAAACCCAGCACCTCCGCACCCCCCTCCAAACCCCCCAAGAAAAACCTCCCAATCGCCAAAGAATCCATCATCCACCAAATCCAGCACCACTGGGGCCCCAACTTCATCAAATCCTTCATCCCAAAATGCCACCGCCCGCTCGTCAAATCCGCCACTCCCAAGCGCAAACGCAAGTCCACCTCGCCTCGCAAACACGAGTCCAACCCCCACAACTGGACCCCATCCTCCCTAACCTCCATGCTACGCATCGCCAAGCTCACCTCAGACAAGACGTGGCTGCACAAGGCCATGCGCGACGTGGTGCGGCACCGCATCCGGCACACGGGGAACCGGAAGCCGCAGCTGGGCCGCGCGGATTTCGACATCATCGAGGATATGCTGGGGAAAGGGTGGGGGGTGCAGTATGCGTTTGGGGTAAGGTACAAGCATTTGGTTAAAGAGGAAGAAGAAGGGGGGGAGGGCGACGACGACGAGGAGGATGTGGAGTATTTGTTTGATGCTGGGCCGGACAGTAGCGAGGAAGAAGAAGAAGAAGAAGAAGAAGAAGAGGGGGAGAGTGAAGAGGTTCAGCAGAAGAAAGGCCGTGGTACTAGTGGCAAGGGGAAGAAGCAAAGTAAGACGTGTGAAGAGGTACATATATCGTCTTCTTCTTCATCGCCTGAAACCATCAACCCGTACCAGCATGTCTGGTGCAAATCGCGGTATGGCATGTTTCCGCCGCTGCCACACGCTTCTTCTTCTGCGCATAGTGCCCCGCAGGCTGCGAAGCATGCTTCGGCTGGTACACAGAAAACGAAACAGAAAAGCACAACGCGCGGTGACGATGCACCGCGTAGTCAGGATGACTCGCTGTTTGTACCGGAGGGGACGGAGAGGGATGGGTATGAGGAGTTTGAGGAGGAAGAGGAAGAACAGGACTACGAGGCGGAAATCGCAGCAGCAAAGGCAGAACTCAAACTTGCGCGGTTAAGGGCTGCGGCTGCGAAAGCGAACAAACTGAAGAGGAAGAAGTGATATATCTTCATTGACCGTGTTTTTTTTTGGGGAGGTTAGTTAGTTTGCATTGTAGGGTTGGAGAATGGAAGTTATGCAGGGCCAAGGTTTAGCATACTGGAGTTCTTTTTGTATTGATTCTTTTGATAATCAGTACTGAAGCAAAAAAAGAGATTTGTAAGAAGAGGGAAGGGGGGGGGGGCACTTTCCGCAACATACATGTATGTAAGAGAGCACCAGAAAAAAAAAACAGGGATAGAAACTTAACAAGTTCCACAATCAACCCTCATTTTTAAAATCGAGTGAAGCAACAAGGGAGACCAAAGAAAAGCCACACTCCATACTTGACAAAAAAAAAGATTCAATTTTTTTCATGGACTCCATCTATCCAAAAGAGAAATAGTGATAAAAATCCCCCTATATACACTAATAAACCTCAAGCACATACCTCCCCTCATCCTTCAACTTCTCAATCTCCTTCCTGCTATCAAGTTTCTTCGCGCTCGGATTCTTCACCTTGTGCTCCACCTCGAGCGCCTCCTGCAGGACCTCGGTGACATCCGGAACGGGCCAAGTAGGACCGCAGAGGTAAAAGCTACCTTCCTTCTCGAGATAGCTGCGTCGAATGTCCTTGAGAGACTCGCGCATACGGTCTTGGATGTAAATTTTCTGGGGCTGATCACGCGAAAAGGCGCGGCCGATGAGAGTGATGATGCCGGCGTCTTGGTAGGCCTCCCATTCTTCGCCGTAGAGGTACTCTTCGCGTTGGTGGCGCGAGCCCATGTAGAGTAGGACTTCGCCGATTTCGTGACCTTGTTGCTTTTGGTAGGCGCGCTCTTGGACGAAGGCGCGGAAGGGGGCGAGACCGGTACCTAGACCGGCCATGATGATGGGGGCGGTCGTCTTGGTGGGGAGCTTCATAACGGAAGGCTTTACAGAGACAGTAACTGGAGAGCCGACCTTGAGGCTGTTGAGATAGCGGGTGGCTTGACCGAAACGGTCGCGGCCCTTGGGGTCGGTCCAGTTTACCGTGACAATGAGCAGGGAGACGGAGTTGGGGGTCACGTGTTGTGCGGAAGCGATTGAGTACTCGCGGCGCTTCATGGGACTGACAATGCGGACGATTTCGTGAAAGCTGGGGTGGGCAGATGGGAACTCAAGCAGGATATCAGCATAAGTGACGGTATCGACCTCAGCGCGGCGCTTGAACTCGGTGGCACCCTCTGGGCTGATGATTTGAAGGAGTTCCCGTTTCTCAGCCTCATCACTGGCAAACTCGGCAAGTGCCTCGTAGAAGCGCTTCGGTGGGCGACCGAAGATATCTATGTTCTGCAGAAGAGACTGGTAGACGGTGCGGTTGACCAATACGTTGGGATCCTCACGAGATGGCACTTCGACAATCTCGTTGGGGTTGAGGCCGTACCACTTGATGAACTCGTCAACTTGTGCCTCGTCGTTCTCCGCGTGAATACCGAGAGCCTCGCCGATGGCATAAGTGACGCCAGAGTCTCCAAGGTCGAACTCGATGTGGAAAATGTTACGATCGTAGTTCTGGGGTGTAAGGCGACGACGCTCCTTGACATGGACGATGCTTGTCTTGATACCAAGATCAGGACGGACTTGGTTAGAAGTACCATAAGCCTCCTTGAAAGCGAAGCCCTTGGCAGCGACTTGCCAGTCCTTGAGTAACGTGGGAGGCTCAGGCTCGTTGCGCTCGAAGGGAGCAAAGCTGGTAACATTGATGTCTGAAGGAAGACTGATGGGCTCAGCATCCTCAGCAGTGCCCCAGGAAGTAGGAACCTCCACCTCGCGGAGGGCACTCTCAAGTTGCGCAGCGAGCTTCTCGAAAAGTTCTGAGCTACCGTTGATAGCGGCGAGCTTGGAAAGACCGGCTGTTAGAAGATCTTCCCGAGCAACCTTGAGGAATGCGAGTTGAGTGAGGAAAGACTCTAGAGATTCATCCTCGGCGACAGCTTCAGAAAGCGTAGGGTCTAGAACAAAGAGCTCGATATCCTTGTTGACGAGGGTCTTGCGGAAAGCGGGAGAAAGCTTCTTCTCAATATCCTCATTCTTCACGCCTGGTAGCTTGACGATGATGGAGCCATCGGGCTTGACGCTGTTCAAAACATCAAATGCCTTGAGGATGACCTCGTCGCCAACAAAGGCAACATCAGCTTGCTCAACAGCATACGGAGCCTCGATAGTGTAGTCGGCGTTGCGGATGTCGGTTCGCGTAACACCACCTTGGACCAGATTGTCGTGTCCGTTGCGCACAAAGACGTTCTTTGAAGAGTCAGTGGAGAAGAGCTTGCCAATAACAGCGGGTGAGTTGGCAGCCAGGGATTCGTCCAGGTTCCAGAAGCTGTACTGCTTCACATCGGCATTGTTCAAGATGTCGATAAAGGAGCGCGCTTCTGTGCCCTCCTTCTCGGCGTGGATTTGACGGAAAGCGTCGAGGAAGTTGCTGGGTGTCCAGACTTGCTCGCGAGAGTACTTGACGTCTGTTACCTCTACATTCCTGTCCAGGGTGAACTGAACAGCGGCCAATACATCGGCGTATAGCCTGGAGTACTCGGCAGGGTCAAGCACGGCTGTTTCATCCTTGACCTGACCAAGGACAGCAATGCGGCGAGTGCTCTTGGGAAGCGCTTCCAAAAAGGCTTCCTCTACGAAGGGGCGGTACACACGGACGTTGATGACACCGACCTTCTCGCCCTCCTTGGACAATGCAGTCGCAACCTGGGCAGTCAAAGAAGCCTCCACAGTGCCGAAGACAACTAGAACGCTTTCAGGCTCCTCATGGCCGTAGTAGTCAAAAAGCTTGTAGTCCTCTCCGAGCTCGTCGTTGAAAGCCTGGAGAAGACGCAGCACACGTCCAGCAGTATCTGAGTGTTTCTTGTCCACATCAGACACGGCCTTCAGAACGGCCTCATAACTGTTGTACAGCCTAGCCTGGTCGAGCGTATCAACCAGTCTCGCCGTCTCTCGTCCAACACTGATGCCATCGTATGTGTGAATGGTGGGAATGACGCTCGAGAGCAGGGTCGCGAAGAGAGCCATGTGCTGAGATTCGAAGACAGATGGACTGCAGACAAGACCAAGGCCCAGATCTTCAGCAAGTGTGAGGGAGGAAACATAGTCGGTGACGAGACCAGCGCTTGCGTTCGCAGAATAATCGACAGCCGCAATGTGAGCAGTGAGAGGATTGGCGACCGAGTAGAGGGCGGCGAGTTGGTCGAGAGAAGAGCGTAGGTGCGTCAACGTCGAGGAAGAGGCAATGATTGACTGTGGAATATGGCGCTTCTTCAGATCAAAGTCCTTGGAGAACATGTAGCCCAAAGCGATTGCACCTGCACCTGTCCTTGTCTCCAGCGAGGAAACTCCAGTCTGGTATCCAAATGCATTCTTCTCGCCCTGTTCTTGCCAGTACTTGACTGCTACATCTAAATCAAACGACTCGGCAGAGTATGCGAAGATCTTATCCGAGAGGGCGTATGCAACCTGCTGGACGAGGGTTTGCGCCGTGAGGTAGGTAGGGCCGCTGATTGACTGGTACGAGAGATCCTGGCCAAAGGGTAGGCTTGAGGACTTCTTGGTGAACTCTTTGGGTGCGTTCTGCTCGGCACCAGGGCCGGCAGAGTCCGTCTGCTGAAGATGCATCTTGAAAGGCGATGTATGCGCCTCGACGTCTCAGCCTTTGGCGACAAGATCTGAGAGTCTTTCTTTAAGAGTAAAGAAAAGAGCGAGAGCTAGACTAGACCCTCCTTAAGGGGTCACCTGGGGATCTTATCGGTGGAGTGGACAAGTCGCCTCGTAGGAGACAAAAAGTGGTGCTGTCCAGTAGCGACATCGGCAGATCGAGGACCAAGAAAGACGCAATCGTCCATAATGCTCCTGATTGGCTCTTGCGACCTGGTTGAGCACGTCTTTCGGGCGAGAGATTGCAAATGGGCGTAATGTGGCCTTGACGCGACGAGAATTTGGCCCTAGCGCGAATTGCGTGCTTCAGAGGCGACGCGGGGCCATGGCGGGGAAATCCCGGTGCTCGGAGATCTGATGAGCGCCCACGAATGGACCCTGTTACATGAATAGCCGTAGTATCAGTGCTTTTCCATACGCGGATTCCTGTGCATCGAGAAACAGCGGGTTCTTGGTACCTTCTATGAACGGTATCTAGCATACTAACTGAATCAAGGTTGGCAGTAGGCCAGCAGTGCGATTCAGCATCAGACAGCCTCACGTGATTATACAGCAAGAGCAGTATCGTAGCATAAGTGTCCGTACGGACGGTGAATTGCTATATTGAATAAACTGAGTAAATCCAAAAGACACACTGATGCAACTGCAAGCGAAAAAAAGTTAGCTCAGGGTGCGTTTGTTTCCTCTTTCGGAATGTTCAAACGGGTTTGAAATCCGATCCCTCGTGTTCTCTATTCGGGAACACTCAAGCGTGGAATAACATGTGAACAAGTATGAAAAAGACACGGAGAGAAATGCAAGCAACTGATACATCAGATGCAACTTGGACACTGATCACATATCACCGTGGGCTGTCGAACCGATCCCCTAACATTGCAGTCTTTTTGGAGTCTCATGGAACAAAAGCCTCGCAATCTCAAAGCAAACAGATTTGTGAATCTGTCGACGTACAAAGAATTCATGTCACTGTCAGCGACCTCTGCTTGCATAGCGCTGTATGGAGCCCCTCAAGAAGACTGGAAATCCTCTGTGTGAACAATGAAGCGCTCATGGTCGATCACAATACGGACAGCGAATAGTAGTCGAGATACTTTGCGTTGTAAGACGGATGTGTGCACAGGTTCTGCCTTCGGCGGTATGGGGAAACGCAGTTGGAGACGGTCTTAGGGAAAATCGTAAACTTAGCTGAATGCTTCTTAGACTACAACTAGCGCTTTGCGTGTGCACGAAGAAATGGGCCCTGGATGTAATTGCATCTGAACAAGCTGGCGCACCTGGTGGCCAATACATCTCCGTGGACGCGAGTGTATCAATGAGCGATGTGAATCGCAATGGCCAATGTCTCTTTTCCGCTTTGACTCTGGTCTGGATCAGGAGCGTCCGACATTGGTTGATTAAAGTAAGGAGATAGCTTAAAATAATGGTCCGCATGTCCTCTTGGCCAATTTTCAGAATGCAGGATACCATGCCGATGGGTGCAAGAGCTCTCCCTTTGTTTGGGCGGTCGTATTATGTTGGATAGGTGATCTTCGCTCACCTAGTGCACACCGATATTTGCGAGCCCGAGGAACCGCACTTCATGAGTGCGCGAAACGGACTAGCCGTCATTGATGGACTGTTTGAGTATTTGAAATGCATGCCTTTGGCATGGCCGAATTTATTAAAACATTTGAAGACCACAGTGTCAGCAGCCAAAAAGGGTAGGGCAAGGGGCTGCATGTGTCTTCTGATCAAAGGTAAGAGTCTGCGGACTACTGCAAGTCTGCATCTGCTGGCATAACGAAAGAGGTATCTTCAAAATCTCGGAGGACGTATTCGGCCAAGGCATCTAGTTTCTTTCGTTGCACATGGAGTGCACCTCCCCGGATGTCTTTCTCGCGCTGGCTCATGTTACTGAACAGAGAAGGCGCCTTGTTCTTCATGGTCGGCCCTCCGTTGCTGGGTCTTAGGTTGTCGGCCGATCCGTCAGCCTGAGCATGCAGCTGTGCGCTTGATCCTGGGCGGGAAAGAGAGACGTCGACATCCGGATACCTAGGGTCTCCCTGGCCTTCGGGCGAGATTTTGAATGTCTGCTTTTTGCTTGGGGGAATTCTGCCAATGAGGACCAGGAGCAACTCTGGTTGCAACAGACGCACTATGATGTTGCAGTCCTGGGTTTCGATGGTGAGTGTCTGCAGTGGGGGCTTGAGTGAATGGTCTGGGGCTCCATTTCGCGCAGAAAGCTTTTGGCGGCCGGCGCAGTGATCCTTCCATGCCATGGAAATGAGGGCAGCCTGGTCACGAAGCTCCTTAGTTTGCACGGGCTTGGAGTATGCCAATAGCGTGCCATTTGGGGACATTAAACTCGTCACGTCAGTCTAGTCGGAGGCAGCGAACAAGCACAACTTACAAGAGTCGGGGATATATGCTTTCACTGGCGTTTTGAGTGAGCCAGTCGCTCACTTTGGCGATGTTGATCATTGGAAAACCTATTGCGGACATGGTCAGGAGGCTAATAGTGGGTGTTGTTAACAACAAGTGAAAACGGATGAGTAGGGATTTATGGACAGCACATGGCAATATATCGAATGCGACGCGGTTGGGATCATGGGCGATGGGCTGAATGCTTGTGACGCAGTAAGAAGACCACGTACCTGGTCGATTGTTGGCGCAACCCCCTTCCCGGACTGTCCTCGTGCGCCTGCTACTAACTAGGTACGTAGGCCACAGACGGGTGGTTGCTACTTGCAGCGCGAGAAACGTCCAACAGCGACCGGGCAGATGCGTAGACCGACTTGATACCGTGAAGGGAGGAGGATCAGTACGCGACCGGCTTCGTAGGCACCATGGAGTCCATGGCCAAGTTTACGAGGCCCAAAGCTATGACCAGCACTCGGAACGCTGTTGTTCCGCCGCACGTGCTCTCGCGCCCCTTTGGGGACGCCTTATTGTTATGCTCTACCACCATGTAGTCATGACCAGCAGGTGAAGGACGTCATGCATCATGTGTAGCCTCGATGACATGTGCATTGCCCGGCCCATGGGCCAGTCTGGCAGTCTGGCCATCGTATCTGCTTGCAGGCCACAGTTGCGCGGTTGTGATGCATTCGTGCACCGCGGGAGGATTCCCGACTAGCATTCACACGATAGCCCAGAAGAGATGCATCTACCTCAACAAGCCGTCTAGGCCAGTGGTGAACATGTGTTCTATTCAAGCAAGATGCCATCATTTGCTCCACAGCCTTAAGTCCGGCTAAAAGCCGGGCGATGATGATGGTGCTGAGGGGCACGCCAGCAGCTTCTCATTGGGTGGTAGACGTCATTTGCTCCTCATGCCCGTGCCCCTCAATTGCTTCGCCAACCTCGCTAGATTGCTCAATTCATGCTTTTTCTACGTCCAACGTCCATCAGGACATCGCGCCTAGCTGTTGCTACTGCTTTCAGACTTGCAAGGCCAAACCATTCCCCAAGCTTTCTCGTGCGTACGCTAGCGACCATGGCGACGGATCCAACCAAGTACAAGCTCAACCACTCCATGTGAGTACCCGCATGGCGATTTGCCCTACTCTACACCTGTAATTGGCCAATTACTGACTCTTGTGAAGGATCCGTGTCAAGGATCCAAAGCGCTCCATCCAGTTCTATGAGTTTCTGGGCATGAAACTGATCAATGAGATCAAGAACCCTGACGCCAAGTTCGATCTCTACTTTCTTGCATACGACAGCCCAAATGCCGCTTCTCACGGCAATCACTGGACTGATCGCGAAGGCATCGTCGAATTAACTCACAACTACGGAACTGAAAATGACCCAAATTACAAGATCACAAACGGCAACACAGAGCCCCACAAAGGCTTTGGCCATCTTTGCATTTCGGTCGATAACATTCAAGCTGCATGCCAGAGGCTAGAGGACGCTGGCTACAAATTCCAAAAGAAGCTAACGGACGGACGTATGCGCCACATTGCTTTCGTGCTTGACCCTGACGACTACTGGGTCGAGGTCATTGGCCAAAAGCCTCTCGAGCAGACTGAGAGCGTCAAAGACACGGACGTTGACACATATCGCATGGTAGGTAATACAAGGCCGACTTGCCCGCACACAGCTGATAAAAGCAGAACCATACCATGATTCGCGTCAAGGACAAGGATGCCTCTCTCAAATTCTACCAAGACATCATGGGTATGAAGCTCAAGCGCACGTCGGAAAACCCCACTGCTGAGTTCAACCTTTATTTCCTCGGCTATGGTCCGGATGCACCAGAGGCTACGGCCAACGGTGTTAACCCCCTTGCGGACAATGAAGGCTTGCTCGAATTAACATACAACTACGGAACTGAAAAAGATGCCAACTTCAAGTACCACAACGGAAACGATGAACCTCAGGGCTTTGGTCACATTTGCATTGCTGTTGACGATCTGGAAGCAGCATGTGCTCGTTTTGAAGAGCAGAAGGTCAACTGGAAGAAGAGGCTCACTGATGGTCGCATGAAGGACATTGCGTTTGTGCTAGGTATGCTGTTATCTTTTTGCTACAAAAGTATAGCAACTGACAGTCTTTGCAGATCCCGACGGTTACTGGATCGAGGTTGTGCAGAACGAGAAGCTCAAGACACGTAGTCGTTGGTAAAAGCGCGGCGCCAATCACCCGCGCATCATGTACATATCCCACGCAACACCAACAAGCCCTCCAATGAATGCAGTCCTAGGTTCAGACTAGCTGGCTACGCTGCACGAATGATGCACCCCGTGATACCGCTACCAAAGCTCTTGTTAGCTGCCCTACAAGTCCGGTCTGAAGATCAAATATGCACTAACTGCCATTACACACAAAATACGTTATCTGGCTATTTGGATCTTAGCTGAGAGCTAGTTTGAGTAGTTATGTATCCTTAATGTGGGTTTGTCCATTCCGTCCGCAATATAGCGTACCCCGTGGGGTAAAAGTGCGGGGTAACCAGAATGAACACAGCCCGCCGGACCAGAAATCCGACGTGTCGTAACATATGTACTGTAAGAGCCGGCATCGGCTTGCTACAATGATCTTGCATACACCACTGGGCATGGGCCAACTGGTTGGATATATATACATCTATATTCACCCCCCGACTATTTACTGTTCCTCGCCCTCGAAAACCCTGAAGTATATCGATCAAATATACTAACAACTGAACATAATCCTCATTGAACCAACTGAATCCAGGATATTGGAAGAGTGGAATAGTCTTTGTTCCCATAGATCTACGGCTAGACGAAGCAGCCAGCACAGTCTTCATTCAACATGGTCACTGTTATGCATACCAAAAAACGCAAGATTCTTATACCAGAGAAGGTGTCACCGGACGGCCTGGCGCTACTAAAAGACGAGTTCGACGTGGACGAAAAGAAGGGACTCAGCCCTGAAGAACTCAAGAGTATCATTGGCGAATATGATGCATTGATTGTCCGATCCGAGACCAAGGTGACGGCAGATCTTTTGAAGGCAGCCAAGAATATGAAAGTGGTAGCCCGTGCGGGCGTTGGTGTTGACAATGTTGATGTTCAAAGCGCCACTCAACACGGCATCATTGTCGTAAACTCACCCTCTGGGAACATCAATGCTGCAGCGGAGCACACTATTGCGCGTGAGTGCGTCCAGGCCGCGCAAATGGAGTGTCTACTGATATATCAAAGTGTTGATGGCTGTTGCCCGGAATGTTGGCGATGCTTCACAAAGCATCAAGGCGGGCAAGTGGGAGCGTGGTCGGCTCGTAGGGGTTGAGGCCAAAGGAAAAACCCTTGCTATTGTGGGCCTAGGCAAAGGTAACTCAGGAGAGCTGAGGAGCTGAGTACCGCTTACACTGTCATAGTTGGTCTCACAGTCGCTCGGATTGCTAATGGCCTGGGCATGAGACTCATCGCATACGATCCCTATGCCAATCCGAACCTGGCAGCAGCGGCGTCAGTGACGCTCAAGCCTAGTCTTGCTGAGATTTTGAAAGAAGCAGATTTCTTGACGCTTCACACACCTCTCATAGCTTCAACCAAAGGTATGATTGGAAAAGCTGAGCTAGAGACGATGAAGCCCACTGCGCGGATTCTAAATGTTGCGCGAGGCGGAATGATTGATGAAGATGCTCTGGTCGAAGCTTTGGACGCTGGTAAGATTGCAGGAGCTGGAATCGACGTCTTCACTTCGGAGCCTCCTGAACCAAACTCATCTGCGACTCGGTTGATCGCGCATCCAAAGGTGGTCGCAACACCCCATCTCGGTGCTTCAACCACAGAAGCCCAAGAAAATGTCTCCATTGATGTATGCGAGCAAGTGGTGTCCATTTTGTCTGGGGAGCTTCCTCGCACGGCAGTCAATGCCCCTATAGTCCTTCCAGAGGAATACCGTACACTGCAGCCCTTTATCAGTCTCGTTGAGAAGATGGGTAGTTTGTACACGCAACACTACTCCAGCGTCAAGAAGGATTCCTTCCGCACAACCTTTGATCTGACATACGAAGGAAAGCTCGCAACCATCAACACCACCAAGCCTCTCTTCGCCGCACTAGTCAAAGGCCTTCTGACCCCCATCACCTCAAGCGACGGCCTCAACATCAACATTGTCAACGCCGAGATCCTAGCCAAAGAACGCGGCATCCTCATCAACGAGCAGCGTTCACGCGAGAACGTCGAAGACAAGCCCTACGCCTCCTTCATCACCCTCCGCGCCCGCGCCTCGCGCTCCGTATCCCAGCAATCTCGCTCCAGCGTCTCAGCATCCGCCGCAGGGCGCTCTGCCACTCGAGAAAACAGCACAGACGACGACCAGATCATCCAAGGCTTCGTCTCCGGCAACCGCCCCTTCATCTCGCGCCTGGACCGCTTCAAAGGCGAGTTCGTGCCGCGTGGCACCCTCATCATCTGTCGGAATTTCGACTCCGTCGGCAAGATTGGCTATGTGGGGAATCTCTTGGGCAAGGCGGGCGTCAATATCAAGTTTATGAATGTGGCGCCGTTGGATGAGGAGGTCGAGGAGCAGCGGTTGAATGGGCTTGATGGTGGAGTTGGTGAGGGGAAGGAGGGGGGTAGTAAGGAGGCGTTGATGATTTTGGGCGTGGATAAGCCGGTTGGGGAGGAGGTGCTGAAGAGGTTGATTGGAGAGGAAGGCGTGTTGGAGGCGAGTGTTGTGAATTTTTGAGATGGGACTATGGGGTGGGGAGGGGGAGGGAGATAGGGGTTGGGATACTGGTTCAATGGCAGCGNGACTTTGGTTGATTGTGGTTGTGAATGCGAATCTTTGAACTTTGATTGTTTGGGACTGATTGCGTTCAGTTCAAGAAAGCTACACGTGACATACAGCAAGGCATTTATTCTAACCTTTTGCTGAGAATTTAGAATCCAAAGCCACAGGTCAGATTTCGTCTTGCATCTGTCTCTGCCCGACGCATTAGCTCGGCCTTTGTTTTTCTTCTTCCCCATTCAGATGTTTTCAAAGCTTCTGAAACTCCATGTATCGCTCAAACCCAGCTGTACTACTAGCACATAGAATGTTGAATTCCTGTTTTGTCGTTGTATTCTCAACCCTGTACGGCCAAGGCTGGACAATGGTGTGTTTTTTCTTGATAGTCATCCCACAAAGCGTAGCGAACTGTGTAATCCTACACTCATCCATGAACATGTTAAAGTACTTGTCCCATGGTTTGAACATATCGGAACAGGTAGTACGCAAGACTAGGTCAGGATGTGCAGCTAGATGCATTCCAGCTCTATTCATACTTACAAGAGATTTGTCGAACGGGATGTACTCTTTAAGGCGTTCCATCGCCGGTGCGAGCGACTGTAAATCTCCTTGCGGGTTTACTTCGTGATCAACTTCCACAGCAGCATTTATGAAGAGCATAAGTAGTGTGGCGTTTGGGTTCTGTGAAATCGGCTTGAGGAGTTGTGAGAAGAGCTGGAGGCAAGTGTGCGGGCCGACATAACCTCGATCGCATACATTGGAGATCTAGTGCAAACGTCAACGAATCAAAAAGTACCACGATGATCGAGAAAGTGCGCATCTCACCTCGATCCGGTCAAACTTCATGTCGCCGAGATAGGGTCCTATATCTTGAGCACCCATGTTGAACAGCCGGAACGAGATGTTGGAACTTCGTAGCCGGCTGCAGAATCTACGAAGCAGACCCCTGATGTGGAAGAAGATGGCACCGAACTCATCTGCTTTCGCAGCTGGAGCGTCCTCCATATACTCCCCGAAAAGCCAACCACCACGGGGACTAGCGTCATCGTTCATTAGCCAGTCATTTTTGAAAGAACAGCGTGCTTGATTGATGTTAATTCTTGTTTCATTTCATAAAATCAGAGGAATCTTACGGGTTGGGCGTGTCAAAGTCTGTGGTGGAACAACCATAAGGGAGCAAGATGCCAGTATGGCGAAAGTACATTTCTCCTTGGCGAACACCAGCAGGCATTTTCAGCATAGCTTTATCACGATAGTCGACTCTCTCGGGAGCTAACGTGACACGGCGACGAATTTGCTGAGCAGTTTCTGCTGACAGTCCTTCCGGAACCCGGCAAAACGTCGCCAAGCGAGCCCATTCGTCTTTCTTCAGTGCTATGCTTAGATTTCGGCCGTCTATGTCAAATGTCTTTGCCTGTAATGTATTGCCCGGCTTTTTCTTGATCTTCTGGTAAACATCTTCGATCATGGGAAGGATGGTGGACTGAATAGCCTGCACCATATCGCGAGGAAGTAACGCTGAGTACCATAAATGGATAATCATCGGTACTGCAACGTCTGGTTCGAATTGGAGCGCAGTGAGAAGCATGATGGCATTGCGAGCCGTGACGATGAAATCCATATCGTTTATAACAGCAACGCAGTGACCTTTGTATCCCTCTGGCAGCCCGGCGGTAGTTTTGATGACATTGCGAAGATCTCCAGACGCAGCAAAGAGAAGGTTGAAGTCGTGACTCGTTGCACTGGTCTTGCCTTCATTACTCTGCAGCTGCAGAATATCGAGAGCAGGCATGTTACCCCAGAGATACTTTCTGTTGCCGAACCCAGCGTGTGAGGGACCCTCGCTGATAAAAGCGGGCTGGCGACTATTAAGATACCATTCGGGCTCCCAAGTGTCTTTCATGAATGGGGATTTGCATGCTTTCTTGTGACGAGACCAATCTGCAATCTGACATTCCTTTGAGCAATACTGTTGTCACGTCAGTAGGTTAGATAGGGCTATAAAAACAAGGCTATATGGTCGCGAAAAGTGAACTAGAAAGACAGCAAACATACTTGAACCATACGGCAGCCAACACATACAAGCCCAGCATGTCCCTGACATGGCATCTCCTTGCTGTTGGAACAAAGTAGCGGATTGCTGAAAGTCGCCAGACCGGGAAAATCAACTGCCATCTTTTTCTTAACGTGCTAGGGAAGTTGCGGTGCTGTCAAAACCTGTCGTCGCTTTGCACGATTTTGGCATATGAATACTATGGTCCGTCGGAAAGACAAAGTGGGATTCAACAAATTGATAAACTCCAATGATTATAATGCGATCTATGAGGAAAATTGTAGGCAAACGAATGTCGTGAGAGCAAACAGCTAGACCGTGAAGGCGACTATTCACATGACGTAGCGATAACCTGGTGCGTTTGCATAGGATTCAACGTTTGGCCACCGACAAGAGGAATGGGAAGAGTGCCCAATCATTTGACGACACGACTACTTTCGCAATCTCAAGTTTACATAGGCAACCTATATGATACTAGCAAAACCCTGGTTTTTCCACATATAGTACATGTGTGGATATGCTTGTAGAATAGCTGACGTATTATTATACAGATGTAGTATGCAATAAGTTTGTACGACCCAAAATGTTTATTGGCCCCCACGCTGAACGTGTTTGTGCGTGGTTTGGTGTAACTGGCAATGCCGTTTCTTCAACGGCAGCGCCCCAAAAACGCTTGCTGTGCTCTTCCACTTTTCTTGTCGGGTTGTAACAGCTTTGGAAACTGTCGGTCTGCTTCCCTGATACAGCTACAAAGTTTTTGCAATTCAAATTGCATTCGAGATCTGGCCATAATAGAGGAGTTACTGCGTGTCTAATATACATGTATCACGACTGTTATGATGTTAGATGGCTCAATTTGCGCGCAGGCTTGTGTAACACCCCCACTCTGCACGATGAGGTATCGATAGTGGCTGTGTTATCAGACACGCGTGATGAACAGAACCTAATATCCTTACACGCAGATGCCTACAAAGAGTCAAGCCCGTCGACTTTGCTTATGCTCTTCGCCTGAAGAAAGAGTGACTAGCGGACTATCAAATCTATGCACAGTGATTGAAAAGATACGCCAATGCATAGTTGTCCTTGAAAATTTAAGTCATCATTGTTGTGCTAAGCTATGTATGATTGTTTGCGAATATGAGATGTCGCAATACAGGCTTTGGATCAGCTTTGCGCGTTCTTGTTACGATGATCGTGTAGAATCGTATGCGTTTGTGAAAAGTGAGCGGCGTTCAATCACTTCTTCGTTTTCACTGCCCTGAACCGTCAACTGTACTTCCACTGTTCTCTCTGCACAAATAAATCATCTCACCAGGTAACCATCAGCGATGAAAATGCGAGTGACATCGAGGTAGTTAAGTTTGTGACAGTCTGGAGTCGCCTGTTCCTTATTCGTTATAGACAGACCTGTTCATCAACACAGCCATGAGTTTATAACGGAGAACTTGTTCATACGCCATCAGCCTATAAGAGTATTCAGATACTTAATTGTTTAAAGCCATCTGTCACATTTCTGCCTCTGTTCGGGTGGTGATCGAGCTTTCGTTTATTTCGACCACCCTCAGTGGGCTCTGAGGGGCTTCCAGATTGTCTTAAACCCGTCCTCTGTCTTCTTCAAATTCGGTACGCGATGTCATTTAAGAAAATCTAGGATCTGCTCGAACTGATACAAAGTACTCTCGCGTACGCCGTTGTTACTAGTGACCCGAATAATTGCCCTTTGAGGTAAGTCTTCTTCCATGCACGCTCTGGAGACGACGTCACTATCCTTTTTGATGCCGCATATCAAGGCAAATGAGTCGGGGAACTTTCGTTTTTAAAAAAACGCTTTCTCAGAGTACCAAAAGTGGTACTTGAGATGAATCTAATCTCGTCCGATATAGCCAAAGGATGTTGTGTTATCACATCCCGAGTTTTGCCTTGATGTCGTTACACAGCAACTTCCTCTCGCCATGTTTGTGGTTGCACATGGGATCAACACACTAACCTCCGACGCCTCGCAGATCGTCCCCGCCCAAGCAGGCACGCTATCGAGCACGCTAGTATCTAGCCCAGGAACTTTTCTGCGACTGCGCATTCCAACAGCCGTCTCAACGTCCTGATTGGAGGGCCACCATCATAACCCTCGACCTCCTTGATACCACCAACGAGTAGCAATGGCAAAAGCAGTACTTGCTGGCAGTACCGGCCTCGTCGTACGTCCCAGTCGCTCCGTCTCTCACACCAGACACACAGCTAACGACTCTACACAGGGCTCCAACATCCTCTCCACCCTCCTCGGCCACCCCTCCTTCTCCTCCGTCTTCGCTTTCTCGCGCCGCGACTTACCCAACCCCAATGGCTCCACCAAGCTCCAACCCATCATATCCGGCGATTCTGCGCAATGGGCGTCTCAATTCCCCTCAACCGAAGCTCCCAAGATATTCTTCAGTGCCCTCGGCACCACGCGCGCAAAAGCCGGCAGTGTCGAAGCCCAGCGCAAAATTGACTACGATCTCGCTCTCGATCTAAGCAAAGCCGCCAAACAAGCCGGCACAGAGGTATGCGTCCTCATCTCGAGCAAGGGCGCGGATGCAAAGTCATATTTTGCATATCCGAAGATGAAAGGCGAATTAGAGGAGGCGATTAAGGCTCTAGGCTTCAAGCATACGGTTATAGTGCGGCCCGGGGTGATTGTTGGGGATAGAGAAGAGAGTAGGCCGGCTGAGGCAGCACTTAGGAGTGTGGCTCAAGGCTTGAAGGGATTGGTTGGGAGTGGCAAGTTGACGGATTCATGGGCGCAGGACGCGGATGTTATTGCGAGGGCGGCGGTGAAGGCTGGAGTGACATGTTTAGAGGGGAAGAGGGAAGAAGGCGTGTGGGTGGTGTCGGGGGAGATTGTTGAGCTGGGCAAGGCGTAGGGGTGTGTTGGATTGAGAGGAGGAGAGGTGGTGGCTTGGAAGAGCGTGTGATGATGTTATACCCGATCCAATTCTTTGGTCTTGATCTACGAATAATACGTGGTATTATTTGGCTGCATAGGAGCGCTGGACCCGTCCATTCACGCCGCAAATTTCCTCGGAAAACAGTCCACCAATCGTGGTATACAGCTCCGAATGCCTGCGTCCCCTGATTGCAATTCACGACGACGACGACAATAACCATAACGACAGTCACTAATTCTACGACTCATAATTCCTAATCAACCTCCTCCAGCATCATCACCATCCCTACCACAAATCCCGTCTGACCAACCATCACACCACCGTCTCACCACCCCCTCTATTCCTCCAGACCCCTGACTCGCGCCCGCCCGGCTGGCCCGCCCGGCGCCCTCCGCTTACCGAATACCAAGGCAGAAGAAATATCACACCATCCTCACCCAACCAACAACACACAGCCCACCCCCCCTGCTCAGGCCCTAAGCAAAACTCGTCTAAAGTACACCACGCGCGGACATGCGCGTGCTCAACCTGGTAATTTGCGCCGGCGGTGCGCGACTGCGTTCGATGAGTAAACTGATGTGTTACCGCTTTCGGTAGTTTTTTATTGCGGGTTTGGGGGGGTTAGTAAGTCGGGTGGGTAAGGGTTATGCCGGGTGGTGTAAGGTGAGATGGTGGTTTCGCTCACGCCATCGAGGCAGTTTGGTGGTGCGATGATTGGGGATCGCTGGTATGGCTTGATATCGTTTTATCAATACAGATGATGGCTAGTTGGTATATAGGATGGAGTGTCTTTTTGTAAAGGTGTTTTTTGTACTACATCAACGACAACAACTACAACGCATTCATACAAACGAGCAGCATCTTTACAGAACGAGTATACAAACTATACGATCTTGATATCGACAAGAAATCTTTTTCCGAGAAGCCAAACTACGAATTTGAAGGACTGAAACGACAAGAGTCCAAGACATCGACCGATAACAAAGTCTCATCTGACTATCCCATCACCACAACAACACAACAAAAATGCCTTCAGCAACGCAAGCACGTATCATGTGGCGCACTCTCTCCCGCGGTATGGTCGAGCCCCACCCTTTTGCCCGCAACCCCATAACCATAGCACCGCATGCCTGGCGCGCGGGCGACTTGGGACAGAGACTAGTTAAGACGAGTGCTGTGTAAGTCACCTCCTTCCCTCTTCAAAAAACAAAAAAGCAAAAGCTAATAGGCTTGACAACAGCTACTTCCCCTTCTACGCCGTAATCCTCGGCTGGCCCGCCGCGGCCGCATGGTGGTTCAATGGCCGCATGTGACTCACCGCCGCGCAACCCGAAAGCGAGGGTGAGGAAAAGAAAGGGCTGAGTAGCCAGGAGGTGCAGGACTTGATTTTGAATATGAGGTGGGATGATTAAGGGAATTCTTTTGTGTATATATCTCTTTGGGTCAGCATTCGAGGCGTTTTCTTTTGTGGGTTAGAAGTAAAAGGAGGCCTGAGGAGCTTTCTGAGATATGAATTTTGAATTTTTAAAACCTGTTTATGTTGGGATTGAGTGAATTCGAGTATGTGGATAGAATGGAGATCCCTACGTGCTAAGACGCACTGTGTGGTAGAATGCTTTCTGCTCTAGAACCTAGCATAGTTCATAACTATGAGTTTATTCGGTGGTGTATGAGCAGAGTTTATGAGCGTAGTTCAAACGAGCAGCAGATTCCGGGTGAGTAGGGCCGCACTTAAAGTCTGTGAGCTACATCGAGACACCCTCGAGGAGTCTAATAACTAATTAAAGAGCCTTTAGGATTCTGGCGACATTGGTGTAGGTTCCGCAGATACCTGTAAATCATTCTATTATAGTTATCCAAACGGATGTCCGTGGATCTTAGTCGTAGGAGGAACAATGATCGTATCTAATAAAACAGTGCACGACAATGAAGTTACATGGCAAATTGGTCCCGCTGGCAACCAGCCTTGGAAGCGTTTACTTTCCTCTGGCTCCGGATTTTCGCAGTTCTTCGAACGTCCGAATTACCAGAAACCCGTAGTCGAAGAGTACCTGAAAAACCATGATCAAGGCTATCCGTACTGGGAGGGGATAAACTACAACCATACAAGACCTGGGTTTTACAACCGTGCTGGTCGAGCTTACCCAGATGTAGCAGCTAATGCTGGTCCGGTAGGTTAATTCTCGCTCACTTCCCAATTTATAGCATGATCTCCCACTCACCGTCATGGATCCCCGAATGGCTAGCACGGAAACGAGAGCAGGATGGAGGAACAAGCCTTTCTGTGCAACTCATCGGTGTGATGCTCGCACGTAGCGTCGATGAGCATAGAAAGATTGGGAAGGGTCCTGTGGGAGTTCCTCACCATGTTCTTTACAGTAACCCTCGGGTCTTTCGAGATGTTGTGAGTGGCAATAACCCCGGCTGCGGAACCCAAGGCTTTCCCGCGACAAACGGATGGGGCCTTCCTACAGGGCTAGGTGTTCCAGACTACCAAAAGCTCCTTGAGCTCTATTTGCGGTTGCCGTAGTAAAGTAGAAGTGGCTTTCTGTCACACCCTGTGCACTTCCGAGCCTATCAAAGTTCGTCTAGGCTTCTGTATCTTAGATGATCTTCAGCTTAATTATTGGAAGAATAACTATATCCAACGGCACTACATGATATCACTCATGAGAATTAATTGCTAGCAACTAACCGACCTACCTATGAACAATTGAGCTTATAAGATGGACTGCCTTTTGTAATCGTTTACATTACTGAGAGCAGGTTTATAGTATGATCAGTTAGTAGGGAAGCACTTGACTTGAGATGTTGTGACAGTATCTGCTGTAGGCATGCGCTATAGTAGTTACTCTTATCAGCCGACTACTACGGGTATAGCGCTGAATCTATACACAAGTATACTATAGATAGTCTAAGGGTATATAAGAGAAAGTGTCCTGTTATACCGTGTATCTCGGCAGGTAAGGATGAACGTTACTGATTAGTTGCGGGATGTGGTGAAAGAGCGTATTACAAGTCTAGAGCGATAGTGCCTATGCCTCTACTCACGCAACTCAACATACTTGTTTCCTTTTCCGATTCTTGAAGGGCGGTCCCGCGATGCTCGACTCGGCCTGAACATACGTCTACCGTACATGTTCCGCAATTGCCCACTTCGCAGGAGCTATCAATGTCCATGCCTACGGCTTTCAGTGCATCGAGTAGCGATTGCGTTGCGCCAACTTGTACAGTCCTCTTGCTCTTTTGGAGCTCTGCTGTAAATGGATCACCGGAAGTTGTGGTTGTGAAGGCTTCGATGTGGACGGACGACTCGGGAATGCCGTAAGACTGTGCGGTTTTGACAACATCGTCCATGAGTCGGGTTGGCCCACAGGTGTAGATGTGTGTCCGGTCGTTTGATTTACCGAGAATGGAAGAGACGTCTAGGCGCTGACCGGCAGACTTGTTGTAGATGGTTGCATGTGGGCCTAGTGCTGTAATTTGGGCTACGAAAGGTACTTCTTCCGCAACGGCGTAATGCAGATGGAAGTTTTGCTTTGTTTCCTGAAGCTGCTCAAGTGCGACTAGGAAGGCTGTAATGCCTATGCCACCCGCGATGATAATGTGACTGTCTGCTTCTTTGGCCAGTGGGAAGCTGGCTGTGATGCGCCCAACCGTTAAAATGTCACCTATATTGGCCTCCTCGTGCAGGTACTTTGAGCCGCCGCGGCTTTCGGGTTCGAGAGCGACGCCAAGTTCAAAACGTTTGGATGTCCCGCTGGTTACTGAGTAGGCGCGCACCAGCTTTCCGCCTAGCTTCACTCGTACATGGCTACCTGGCTGAACAGGAAGGGTATCGGAAACATCCTCTACTACCTCAAACGTAAAGGCTGCTACATATTTGGTCTCTTTCCTCTTCTCTACTAGGCGATATTCGTTCCAGGCGAATGTTTTTTCGTCCTCGCCGCCGAACAATCTACCGCTCTGGTCCTCAGCTACGCCCTTGTCAAGTCTAGCCTGGAACTGGCCCTTGATGTCCCAACCAAGCTGAGGTATCTTGACGATCTCCTCCATCATCTTAGTGTTGCTGGTTTCGATGAAGAGATAGTACATGATACGCGCCACTGTCCATTCCGGATGTGGTCGCTCGAGCAGCGAGATCATGTCCCCCTCCTTGATGGTGCCGGTCTTTATTATGCGATATAGCCAGCCAGTGCGAAAAAGAGTCTGCGTGCGCTTGGCCATGTCCTTGACTTCGAAACGGTGGTTGAGTTTGAAGCACGGTCCTCGTGGTTCGGTGACTTCGACAATGATGTCCCCAATGGCAAGCCGATCCCCAATACAAAGGGTCTTCTCGCTAACTTCTGTGCTGAACAAGTTTTCACCGAATGCGCCGGGTCTGAAGTAGTGTTCTGAGTTCGGCAATTCCTTTTTCCAGTCGTCGTAATGAGAAGAGCAGTAGTGGAGGAGAGCCTTGTCTGGGCTCACATGCTTGGGAAATGCATGTTCATCTGTCGTGATACCCAACTCGGATATTTCAATGGAGCCGGTCAAAGGAGTCTTGTAGATTGCTGATTCGATCTTGCCATTCCAAAGGGATTTTTTGATCTTGCCTGCTCGCAGCTGAACCAGCGGGAAGGGAGTGAATTGAGGAGGGTTCTTTAGTGTGTCTGGATCTGGAGGGGGAGGAGGAATCCATGCAGAGGGCGCCATTGCGGTTGTGTGGCGACAAGACGCAGCTAAATTGAAAAGGATCGCGTCGAGGGTTTAGGATGATTCAATGATTTGTCTGTGTTGAATCTTCTACCATTGCATCAATTGCATGGATAAATACACCTGAAAACAGACACAATAAATCTGACTGGTCATGTGATATTGCCTAACCTGCTGATGCCTGGGGCGAGAAATAGTGTTCCTGGAGTGGGTATGACAATCTAGAATAGACATGAGACCATTCCGTCTTTGGAAGGACGATAGATTAGAAACAATAAGCCATTGGGATACGACGACATTGTGTTTTTAACTGGATGCGGTGGAACGCTTCAGTTTCGCGCAGTGCAATCTATGTTGCAACCATCGTCTACACCCAATCTCTTCAATGCTACAATAGGGTAAGTTAGGGTAGTGTGCCACAAAGTGGTTAGCTTTGCATGCCGGAATTTGGCTTTGATATCTTTTGTTCAAAGTCAACATTAAGAGACATTTGATTGCATATTTTAAATGGCTTGTTTTGTCCAGACATATGTATGCAGGACAGATCCCCAAAGTCATCAATATGCGTGTCCTGGTCACGTGAGCGATCTCTTCGGTCGGACTTCGGTGAATGACGTCACATCATCGTCGTACGAAGCTTCACACGTATCTACTCGTCACCTTAACCAGTGTGTATATCAACAATATCTAGTTTTAAAATACATCTCAGTCACTCAATCGATACTCTCAAGAACATTGAAGAGCTTTCCCACAGTACGCCCATACAGATACCACATCTAGAAACTCAATTCAATCCTCAAAATGTTCCGCATCCAGCCCTCACGCGCAGTTCAACGCGCAGTCTTCACTCGCCCTCGAGTTGTTCGTCCCCGCTTCCTTTCAACGAGTCCGGTACGGTTTGCGCAAAAGGACGCACAAGACAAAGACTCACTCAACCCACGATCGACCGAGTATGCCAAATCTGGCTCTGATGATGCCGCAGCACATTCAGGCGCAGCTTTTGATCCCTCAAAGACATCTCCAGAGGCAGAAGAAGCACATGCTGAGCGCGAAGCTGGCGGGAAGCAGAACAGCTTGAACGTCAGCCCTGGAAACAAGGACATCAGCGAACCCAACAGCCCCACTGTTGGAGGACACGGAGGCGCGCCAAACAAGAAGAGCAGCGGTGCAGGCAGTGCACCAAAGAACAGCTCGGGATGAGCACACCCAGCATGCTATGGTTTCTCAGTGATAGGGCGGACACACAAGGGGGGGGGGGACAAATATGAGCTGAGTAGGCGCATGGGAGATATGGATGATGCACAGAGCATTTGGGGCACGTCACAGTGGTGATAAAATTAAGCTACTTTTACATTTTTCAAGAAATGGTGTACATACATTCTTGGGGGAGCTGGCGCATAGCACGTACAATCCCAACGTTCAATCAGGATACGTTTTCTTGTGGTACCTTCATCCACCTGTTGCAACTTTTGCAAGGCTGGTCACAAATCAGCTCCACTTCAATCCTGCCTGACGTCGTGTAGAGTGCCCAGATTTGCAGTGGAGCGTGAATGCCCACGCAACAGGTCTCACTGCACGAGATGACGTCACAGCCCATGACTGTTGTTAAAGACCTCCACAGCCATAACACGCTCTGTCTCAGTGAGCAAATTCTCTTCATAAATATTGTCACGATATCCGTCGCCTTTTCCCCTAAAGCATCCACCTTTATCAACTCCCTTTCCAAGCCTCAAAGCACCGACAATGGCACCCCGCACTATTCTTAGCGCTACGCGTTCTCTCCGCACACCCATGACCCTGACGACGCGTCGTACCTTTGCAATTACACAGCGCATGGGCATCAAGGAAGATGCCGACCGCAGCTCAGACCAGATCGAGCAAGCCAAGCAGGACCAGCTCAAGGAACAGAAGCAGGGACAGGGGCGATGGCGCGAGGATCTAGCCAGCTCTGGCGAAAGCAATATCGCCGCCGACCGGCAACAAGTCGACAACCACGACGCACACATGAAAGAGTTGCAGCAGGAAGGCAAGAAGAAGGGAGAGAAGGGGGAAATGTAGATCTGTGGGCTGGGAGAAGCCATGGACGTATGTCATACATACATGCATACATGATGATTGGGCATTTGCAAGCAATTGGTGGCTAGTTTCGTCATCACGACAGGAAACGTACAACCCCGTATCGAGGGAATACGACAAAGTTTTCGAATATAAAGAGGATAGGAAGTAATGGGTGCATACAGCCGTTGAATTCAACAAATGTCTCCCAGGCCTCCACTATTATGAAACGAGGCGGCGCTGTCAGATGCATGCTCTCCGTTTTTAGGTGTCAATATTAGGGTGGCGTAGTCCGTTTCAGCAATCAACTAGATCCGTCATGCCCTACATGTAAGGGGCTGGCTTTGTTCATACCGTTGGCCATGCGCATGTTCTTCCGCTTTCCGCCCGAGATGCAGATTGTCGGAAAGCGCGGGACCACGATGCCGTGATTGTGTGGTCGTATGCATGACTCAGATAATATCATGAGGGCCATGTCGCAAGATCGATCTGTATTAGAGTTCGGCCGCACGGTGGTCCGTCGTAATCAGCCAAACTTGTTCGGCAAAGGCATCCATTGCCGTGTCTAGGCGGCAACCTAACCCTTCGCAGAAGACATGCGTTTCTCGTCGAACGATCCCTGACGATGATCAATACCAACACTAGTCAATACTTTGGTCTCAAATACTCCTACATCCCTACATTGCTTCGCCAACTACCTCGCTAGAATACTTCTTGCTCTACTCATCTGTATCGCCATTGGATACACAGGTCAGATGCCCCCTAAATCTCAGCGCAGCCGCGCTTGTTCCCAATGCCGCACGAGACGCGTCAAGGTTCGTTTACTGTGTACCACACACATCCGGTACAACTATTGACCTCGTGTATCTACAGTGTGATGAGACGCCAGAGACATGCAATCAGTGCCGCCGTCTGGGAATCAAATGCTCAGGGCCACTGCAAGGCTCCATCGTCATTGACATGACGGAGCGTGTGGTGAATCCAAAAGGACGAAAAAAGAAAGAAACAGTGAGAGCATCAGCATCAACATTAACTAACGAGACCGCTGCCGCGAAGAATTCGCATCATGCAGTATCTATCGCATCGAAAAAGCCTGCTACCCCACTAGACATGCCTCTTCAGAATCCAATGTTTCCTACCAACAGTCGACATGCTGAACAGGTGGAGAGGGCCACGACAGCAATCCGCTACCACTACAGGCCTCCTACCTTCAACCAGCCTTCGAAAGCCTTGTCATCGATACTGGACAATGCCTTCCTCACCCATTATGTAGAGCTCAACCATGTTAAAAACGGTTATGCACCTGAACTTCAGTGGCTTGTTCACTTGCCAGAAATATTTAGTAACGCCTCCAAGCCCGCTGTCAGAATATCACTTCGAGCAAAGTCCATGGCATTTTACGGCAAATACCATAATGACTCAAGTATACTCATCGACTCCTGGAGATGGTACACTGTTGCATTGAGTGCGCAGCGAAACTCGATAGCAAGAATGAAAAAGAACGATGTCCCAGATGAAGGAGAAGTTCTGGTGCCCCTCATCCTCGCGCTATATGAAATTTACGTTGGCGCAACGTCTGCTGGCTTGGTCGCCCACCTAGATGCAGCAGGAGAGATTATGAAGATGCGAGGCCCAAGCAACTGTAGATCTGGGGTAATCTGGCCGCTCTTCAAAGCCATCCGCGGCCAAGAGGTATGTTTACGATATTCCGCACTCCCATAGTCCTACGCTAACGGCTCCTAGGCTCACATGTCAATCATTTTTAACAAAAAGTCGACGTTTGCTTCCCCAGATTGGATGACAATACCATTCGTCGATATGCCCAGCGACCCGCACCAAGACCTCGCCAGTATCCACTTGATGATGCCTTACTGTATGGCTTATCTAGAGATACCAGGATCTTTGCGTGCTGTTTTCGAGACGGCCATACCACCCAATGTTGATGTAACACCTGCTAAGGAACTCACATGTAAACTGCTCAAAGACCTCGACAGCTGGGCCGAAAATTACCCTCATCTGGCGAAGCGATTCACCAGCCCTGGGAATACTCAAACCCCAGAGTCTTCCTCGCAATCCACAAGACAGAAATCCCCCAAAACAGGAAAAATCAACCCAGCCAAAGAACTAATCAGTTCAAATTACATGGCAGATCGAGTCCTGCTCAATATGCTCATGTACAAGATGCACACAGAATCCAGAACTCCCTTGGCACCATCTGAGTATAGCATAGGACACTATTATTCCGAAGCGCAGAATTATTCCCAAGCCATACTGCAGACTGCAGCTGAGATTGAACGAGCAAAGACGCCTGGATTCGACCTTTTGCGCTGCGTCAGTCCTGTTGTAATCGTAATTTATTGCGCTCCGATGGCGGAACTGAGAATGCAAGGCAAGATGATGTTGGGCAGGTGGGCAAGCCAAATTCAAGGACTTGCGTCAACTATGGACCGCTTGTGAGCCGAGTCTTGCCAGCTCCACTTCAAGGCGTGGAGAACCGCTCCAGAGGTCTAGGCAGCTACTCGTGGATCTCAAAGAGAATAGGACAAATGCTAATCATTTCATGATACTTTGTCTTTGTCTCATTGGCGGAGGCAATAATGAGCTCTTTATCACAAATATCACGTCTTTGTTGTAACAAACAACCCAAATCTTTCTTTGTCTACTCGGAAATTGTAGAAGCAACTCTACCCTAATCACGCATCTGATGCCCTAATATGCCAATGTACGCATCAGTAATCAATCCACTCATCATACTCGACTCGTAATATCTGCTGCATCCAACTGAACCAATTTTGAACGACCTTGGAGCGAAGAAGCAGTGACATATCGACGCCTCGCTGGAGATATGGCACCCATATCCCTTTCATTCACAGCCAACGATGCACCTTGCCCGAATTTCTTCGGGTCCCAAGAGCATCGCGCCCAAGTCAGTAGAGCCATCACACAGAGTCTCTTTGGGACCACCGCAACATACGAAAGCTTGACTCCCAAAGAAACGATACGGCACCAGACACCACCGGATAGCTGGGAAAATCCAGCACGCGATATCCTATCCGAAGCCTCAGCCGCCGGGACAATCGAAACCAACAATCCTTTTCTCCAAACAAGTAGCTGTACTCTACTACCACCAGCTCAACTCCAACTCACCCGAACCCCACAACCGCAATCCCACACACCCCGGGATAACATTAACATGCCACAGCCCTTGCTCCCGCCACTCTCACCGCCACCCTCGCACACCCAAGCACCACGCCCTCCGCCCTCCTCACAATTCGAATGCGGCCAACGCACCACCTGGACCCCTCCACCTCCCACCCCACACCTCTCCTCACCCACACTCCCCCGCTGCTCTCTATCCCCTAAGCAAGCATTGCGCCAGGAATATCGCTTTGACGACCCCGTCACACCAGACATGCATCGACTACGCGAGCCTCTTCACATACTAGACGCTGAACGCAACCCTGCGGTTGAGAATCTGCAAGGAGGAGGGGAGATGGAGGAGACGGTTTCGGCTATAGATAAGGAGATAGTGTTGTGTGAGGTTAGGGAGAAGTATGAGGAGGCGGTGGGGAGGGCGTTGCTGGCGCGGTATAATGGGTTGGTGTGGAGGTGGCGGAGGGAGAGGGTGGTGCGTGGGGGGAAAAGTGGAAAGGGAATAGTGAATAAGAGATAGAGGACCGATGTAGAGGTATTTGCAATAGAAAAGGCAGAAATCTTTCTTCTTTACTTGCTTGATGCTGGATTTGTCGTGACGATGGCGGGTCGTCTCGATGTGATGCTGGATGCTGGCGATCGGCCGAATTCACTAATCGGGATGATCTGAGGGAGTTCATCCTAGGAAACATGTGCCGTAGAACGCGGATGTGCGGGTTTTTTCTGTAATTTAGCAAGGAATTTATCTGGAAGACAGGGCATAGTGCCCCCTTGCTCGCGGAATAAGTCTCCAAGTCCGATGCATTTCGAGATGGTAATCTTGGCTGTGCGCTGACGTGCATAATAAAGCCGTGGTTTTTCGGATCCGCACGTAGTAGGAAGTCTCTGTGCAAGCATTTGGTCTTGTCCTGGATAATAAATTATAGTAAGATTCCTGGGGTGCATTTGGGGTATGCTTGCGATCAAGATTGAAAAAGTGCCCGATTCGGCCAAGTGCGTACACGAACGCAAGTAGTAGTACCGGTACATCCCCGCCGCCACCGTCAAAACTACGATCACATCGCAGCGCAACTCAAACCTTCCGAACTCCAAAGTTCTTCGCTGGTGCTGGGGATTTGCGACAGCTACATGAACATTAAAGAGAAAATGTTTCGCGCTTCGCCCAATGTTCTGTGGCAAATCGATTGCACAGGCCAAGGCTGATTGCAATTCAAAAGTGCGGTTCGTGCAATGAAGCGGGGAAGGTCCGAGTGACCTAAAGTGGAAACCTTATGCGGTTCCGCATACAAACAGTCCACAATACAGTCAAGAAGCCAGACAATTGCGCCATTGACATCGTAATTCCGTTCGAAAATGGCCTGACAGTCCGATGAGGGGGGTTACCGTGCAGTCCAGATGCCAGGGAAAATGGGGAAGGCTGCTATATAGTTCCGGGAGAATGTACATCTTGTCTCTTTCTTCGCAGAACCGTCTACTCCAAGTCAATTGCAAAAAACACAAAACGTTTACTTCTTACCTTAACATCAAATCTCTTTTGTTCTTTTCACTTACTTGAAGAATAAGATAAATCAAAATGCCCAGCATCCACCCAGCAATAGACAACGGCATCAAAAAGGGCAACCCCAACTTCCCTGGCGGCAAACTTTACTGCCACTGCCCGTCCGACAAAGTCGAAGTCACGCTCTCGAGCAACGTCGCGCACAACCACGCATGCGGATGCTCGAAATGCTGGAAGCCGCGCGGGGCCCTCTTCTCCGTCGTCGGCGTCGTGCCTAAAGAAAACGTATCCGTGACGGCCAACGGCCACAAACTGCACATTATCGACGAATCAGCAGCCATCCAGCGTAATGCGTGCAAGGAGTGCGGCGTCCACCTCTTCGGCCGCATTGTGGTCGACCATCCATTCAAGGGCCTCGACTTTGTGCACACGGAGCTCAGCAACACGAGCGGCTGGCAGGAACCGCAGTTTGCGGCGTTTGTAAGCAGTATTATTGAGCAAGGCTTCAATCCGGCGCAGATGGATGCTGTGAGGGAGAAGTTTAGGAGCGTGGGGTTGCAGTCGTATGATGTTCTCAGTCCGCAGTTGATGGACCTCATTGCTACGTATACGGCACAGAAGAATGGCAAGTTGCCGGCTAAGTTGTAGAGGGTAGGTTGGTGTTGCGATGGAGGGCGTTTGGGGTGTATGTACATATGTACGTGGGGACTGTGTATTTATGTTAGTAGAGGATGTGTCATGGTATAGAGCTTAGAGGTTGGCTCTTTGGGGGCTAGGATACACGAAGACAAAGACTTATCAATGACGGTGCGACTTGCGCGCTTTTATATATGATGCTACTGAGCACCGTGATCGCGCGCTAAACTCTTCTTTTCGGGACGAAGTGCGAGTTTTGTGTAATGCATTGGATGACCTGAATTAGAAATTTGAACTGGATATCCAGGATCTCAGCATTCGCATATCCTTTTATTCTCTTTGGCTAGATGAGGATGCTCTTGTGTCGGCGTTGAGACACCTGCTGTGTAGTTCATGTCGCATAGAAGGTCCTGCATTCTTCCAGTTTGTTGGTATATACGCTGTCCAACTACTATCGAAGGGCGCCTGAAGTCATAGCTGCTGTGTGTTATGACGTGGGAAGCGGC